CTCTTCCCTGTCACTTCCCCTACAGGATCGACGTCACAGAGGTGCAGATCGCCATCATGACCATGTATTTGATGTCGGCTTTCGGGGGCGTGAGCCTTTGGCAATGCACGGTAACGGAGGACCCAACACCAACAGAAACTATTTCATTTCACTTTATTTAGTAAACCTTTTTCTTCTCCCTTAGTTTTCACACCCAACAACTATCTAATCACTTCCTAGTTTTTAGTCGTCATTCTAGCTCTTAAATAGAATTTGTGTTTTACCTTTACTCTGTGCTGCCTTTGGAGGCTTGACTTAACGTCACTTGAGAGAAGGTAAATATCGGTAGCTAACGCCATGGCAACAGGTCATCTATTGGACATGGTCTGGCTCAAAAAGCTGATGATGTCATCGGCATTTATTTGTTGCTTTGCCCTCCCATCACGCTCGGCATGCCTGCGGCTTTCATAGGAGCACATTTCTTCTTGGGGAGTTTGTGTCTCTTCACTAATTTGACCTTCATGTGTTTCCGTAGTTGCCCCTCATCGGAGTGAAGATGTACGTCTTCCCCGTCATTGGCATCTGCGGCGGGGCCTTCTACTCCTGCTACAACTACTTCCATGTGATTTTGAACGGCGGTGTTGGCAAAAACGGCTCCACTGTGGCTGTAAGTCAACACACGTATTCACGCTTTTATAGCAGATGTGATATTGCGATGCATGCTGAACATAATTTCCTTCTGTTCAGGACACCAGTGTGCTGAGTCCCAGTTTGCACATCGGCCTCATCCTCGCGCTGGCCTTCATCATTTTCAAGAAGTCGTCCAGCGAGCTGTTCGAGCACCACCCCTGTCTGTACCTGCTCGCCTTTGGCATGGTCATCTCCAAGATCTCCAACAAGCTGGTGGTACGTTCATCTTGTCTTTAAGTTCTAATGATAATGATTTCGGTCATGGGTGTTATGGCAGCACCCATGGTTACCATGGTCCAATCAAAGGCTAGGAATATTGGACCTACACTGACTGAAATACCTAGTTCTGGTATTGGTAACAAAGGGGTCGATGAACCCATTTTTTGGCTTGTAGTTTTTCATGTGTCATCTGTTGTCTTTACTGAGGGACTTTAATACAGAATTTATTCAACCAGTGTTTTATTTCCCTCGTGTATCTCTGTAGGTCGCGCACATGACCAAGAGTGAGCTGTGCCTCCCGGACACGGCCTTCATCGGCCCCGGCCTCCTCTTCCTTAACCAGTACTTCAACAGCTTCATCGATGAGCACATAGTCCTCTGGATCGCCATGGTCAGTGTTTGACACTTGTATTGTAGTATTAACGCCTCATTCTTTTTGAAAGGGACCAACTCTAAAAGATTTAACACCCTTAACAATCATCAAGTTTAGCTACAGTTAATTTGAGTTTGTCCTATTCAGTTTAGACTAAAAATGATGTAGAAAAAGGCCAGATTTCATTCCTGAAATGTGGAAAAGGACTTGTTTTTTATTCCATAGGGCTGTGTAAAATACAAAATGTGAATAGCTAAACAACAAGTAGGGTCTGAGCAATGTTCACTACAGCTTGCAGGTTATGTTTGAGCACAGTCAGCACGGTGTGACTTTCACCTTTAGCGATCTAATCAGAGAGCCATAATGGATTAAGTTTAAAGTTCCTTTAAGGCCGATGAGATGACTTGACGTAAACCTTCTTCCATGATGCTTGTTAATTCATCTGGCTTTGGTTTAATACTGTCAGCTTTGACATGAAAGGATAAGGTCAAAAACAGGTTCAAGGCACCGTTCATAATACTGTGATTTGCAGGGTGAATGTGGTAAAGTAGTACGTAAGATAAGCATAACAGTTGGCAAAACTTCACTACTTGAGGTTCCAAAGTGCATGGAAAGAAGAGTCTGAAGAGGTAAAACTTTAACAATTGTATTTTGGACCAACGTGTTACTGCTCGTAGATTTTTATCAACAAGTTAGGTTAGCCAAGACATGCTGGCAGTTTTCTTTTTAAAGCGGTTTGGTTGCATCACTAAAAGGCGCAGCCACACAGGTGTGACCAGTTCTTCTGGATGATTAGACCTCAAATCGGCACAGGTGTCTCCAGTAACATTAATTACACCCAGTACTGTGTATGCTGGCTCACTGGGATACTAACAAGGATTAGGGGACATTGTTAATGTGATCAGTTACACCTGTGATTTTACTACTAGGAAAAAGCAAAAATGATTAAGGTGTTAGTAGTTGACCATGGTTTAATCAGACCGGTATATTACAGATTTTTTACATGGAAAAATCTAAATTAAAACAATTCTTGGAAGGAAGTCAGGTGAATACAAGTGCAAAGAATGACATAATATACTCAACAATAAACTAAGATAAGAAGGGTGTTATGTCTTTACATTCTGAACAAACCAAAGCAAGTTTCTATGGACCAAAAAAGTGATGGCTAATAATTTAGACTTACCCTTTTTAATCATTCTATAAAATCTCATCAAATGTGTATTTATTTTATTATTTATTCGTTTATTTTTTCAAGATTATTAGGCATTCTGGAGGCAATTCTTTAGATAATTGTCCTGTTTAAAAGTCCACCAAAATCTCTAAATCTGACAGTAGGTAAAGGTGGAATAATAAAATAACAGTACAAAACTTGCCTTTAGTATTCTTTTTTAATGCTAAATAGTTTCTTAAAAATACTTATTTTTATTATCTTTATTTAATTTTGTACCTACTATTGCAACTTTCTTAGATTGTTTATGTTCGCACCAGCAGACACCAAAGCAAATTCCTTGTATGTGTAAACTTACCTGGCTATAAACTTGATTCTGATTCTCATAGAGATATATATATATATACACATAATGAATTCAGATGCTGATCTCTCCCATTCCCCGTGCCCGTGTTGTGACGTTTATAGTATATTTGTATCCAGCCTTTGATGTCTGATCGCCTCCATCTTCCTCCAGGTCTTCTCTCTAGTTGATCTCGCACGCTACTGTACGGGGGTGTGCCTCCAGATCGCCTCCCACCTGCGCATCCGAGTGTTCAGCATCACGGCACAGAGCCACGGCAAGCACGACTGACCGGTTGCCCGGCGGGAGGAGGCGGGGGGGGACGCAGACCTCTCCCCGCTCCTGAAAGCAGGCGATGACGAGGATAGACCTTCCTCGGCCCTGATCCACTGCAGCCTTGACAAAGTGACCACATCCGATTGAAACTGCCTCTCTCACAAGATGGAAACATAAAACCAACTCATCACTACAAACCAAAAAAAGAAAAAAAAAGCATGGATCAAGATATTGAATGAAAAAAGAACACGGAACCAGAGCTTCCCTCAATTTCCTCATTGGCTGTTGTAGCCAAACATATTTTAATTTAGACATCATTGCATGTTGTCAGAAAAATAAAGTTTAGATTGTTACATCTACTTCCTGCTTACTCTAATCAAATACCAAAATATTTTCTTTAACAGGTACTTTATAGTTTGGGCAAATATCAAAGCATTTATCTGCTTTAAATCATGTTTGAAAATCTGTTTAAATACATAAATATATAGAACTGCAAATGAGGTAAAGCTCTTTGATATATGCCCATACTAAATGCAGTTCCTGAAAGTGTTCTTAATTAGTTTTTATTTATAAAATGAATGTTACTCAATCTGGCATTAATCAAGAAGGCAAATTAAAATTTTAAAAGGACCATAAAAACCTCAAATATTATCCAATGAAGTTTGCAATGTGGAATGGCAAGTTGTCAACGCGCTATGTGACGGGGCTACGGTCGGTGTTAGTGTTGAAACATTACGACGGCTTTTCTATCAGGCCTCATACAAACCACTTTTTATTCATGTTTTTATTCACTGTTACTCATCTCATACTGCAATCCTGGAAAAAGAACGTAAACACACTCACCTCGGCCTCTTAGAGAGCGCTGTCGCCTGATGAAGCACTAACACTCGACTCGTACTGCTTTCTCTGTTCTTCTCCCTGAAGGGCTAATAGTTAATTATTTGTGATTGTACAGAATTCAACTGAAAACGCCTTAAATATTTTTGTTGTAATTACTGTTTAACTTGTGAATATTTAAAACAGCTTTGTATGTGTTTTTTTTTTCTCCACTGAAGTATCATACCAGACAATAGTAATAACACAATGCTACTGGAACTGTTCACTCATGGTTTCTTCACTTATTGTGTCATGTATCGGTGAGCGATTCATTTGGTCCTTGAAAGATCTGTTGGATTATCAGTAATTTTGCATTGATTTAACATTACTGAGTTCCTGTAATCTGACCGACTCATTATTCAGGTTCATTTGGATCAAAAGGGATATTTATGTAGTGCCGCTTAACTATATATAAGGGTCAAGACAATGGTACTCTTGAGTTTTATTTTGGAAAAATAAAATGATCTTCCTCTGAGATTCTGCTCTTGCAGGATATTGGACATTGAAAAGCAGCATGTTCTAAAAAGAAAGATCATTTCGCATAATTGACGATGGACTTTGGAACTATGCATTGAAATGTACGACTTTGATTTCAACACCATGTTGCACTGTTCAATAATAACAGTAAAACACCTTTCTACTAACAGAAACTGTATGGGTGGAAAAGATTGTAATAAAGAAAAATATTTTTCATGTGGTGCGTTGTTACTGTACTGGTGTTAGCATATTGGCGTTAGCATTTAGCTGAAAGCACTAGGTAAAGCCTCACAGAGCTGTATGTCTTGTTTTTGAGAAAGTTTGGATATTTTTACCTGTTTGAGTATCAAATAACATTTAAAAAAAAAAGTATCTAAGCCAATAAGTCAACTTCAAAATATAATACCTTCAAGATAAGCTTTTTGAATCTAATTACATGTTTTCAGAACAAAGGAATTAATATACATTATGGTTGTTGCCATGAATGCAGTGGTGTTCACATTACAATATCAAAACAAACGTAAGACATAATGAAATAGCACAAAATATAAAAAATCAAGTACCTCAAAGTGCACTTGAACAAAAGACAAACACCAGGATGACTGAAACCACATTTTATTTCCGTCAGATGAGTCACTGAACTGATGAAATCTGAAGGAATCCTATTTTCCAGATATGTAGTTCACTGCTGCTGACATCAGAGATCATACACGTGACCGTTATGGCACGAGCATTGTCTGAGGCTATGTTTACATTCTGCTTTATTTAGCATCAGATGCATCAGTCACCGGCTCACTGTCACAATAATACAATCAAAATAAGTTACACAACATGCTGAGGGGTCTGAATTTCAGACAGTAGCGAGCCTGTTGAGTCCCACAGAGACACACACACACAGGTGGCTATGAACGCTGTAGCATCACTAACATGTTGCTCCAACAATCATTTACATTTGTACCACATTTTAAACCATATTATCCTATACCCCATTCATTCTCATTATAAATCCTTAGATTAGGGTGTGAAACATTTAAAAAACACAACAGGAAAGAAACAAAAACGTTCAACAAGCAGGAATGAACAAAGGCACTTCAAGTTTTCATATTTTTTACCAACACAATTATTTTATTCCCCTTATATATATATACCTTTTCCTTCATTTTTTTTTAAATGAAGCCATAGCGCTAAAAGCCAAACACATCCAGAGCTGCAAGTACCAAGCTTTTCATCAGCCGACAATTTCTTTAATCTATTTATTGTTTTGTCTTTAAAAAAAAAAGAAGTGAAAAATGCCCCTCATAATTTCTCGGCAGCAAAGATGACTTCAGATATCTATTTTTGTTTGAACAATGATGCAAAGCCTGAATATAAAAGCAACATTCGATGATAAAAACTCACATTTAAGAAGAACATGATTGGCATATTTCCTTGAAAAAGTGACTGAATCGAGCAATCAATTAAATAAACATTAATCAGTGTGAGTTTGAAACACAGAAGTTTGTGGATATTGTGGTAGAACGTGCTTGCTGCATACACACTACAAAGACACAGACACACACACCGACACACACACACACACACATACAGAGCCCTGACCAGCAGCTGTCAAATGCTTCACACTTTAACAGCACATCAATCACAGGGTGGTGAGGGCAGGACATGAGGAGGGGGGTGCAGTGTGGAGGGAGTGTTCTGTGTTTGTTTGTGTTTGTGTTTTACAAAAGTCTCAAAAAGAAGAATTGTACGCTTCTTCTTGCTGGCTGTGACTCCTTTCACCGGACAGCCCCATCCATCATCTTATGAAAAAATGTTTCATCACAATCTCACACGAGTCTCTATCCTCTGTCCGTGCTGATGCAACACAAGCAGGCGGGACTTCAGACTCCTGTTTCCACCCGGTCCCCCGGTCCGAATCCTCTCCACTGAGCAGGAGAGAAAGGGTGGAGGTGGTTGAAGTGCAGAAAGAAGAGGAGAGGGAAGTCTTCCTCGCTCTCACACCCGCTCAGGGTTGCTGTCCTTGTTCACTCTGCGTCTCGGGAACAGCTTCCGCTTTAGAAGAATCAGCTGCAGGGAGAGGGGAGAGGAGGAAATGACATAATGAGAAACAACATGCAACTAGGGAGACATAAAAACTGTCTGTTAGCAAGAGGATGACTGGCAGGGAGTTGAACGAGAAGATGGTTACCACTCTCCTATACGTCCATTAAATATGGAGCTACCGTAGAGCTAGCAGCGCGTATTTATGTATATATGTTTACTGCAAATGTGTATATTCCGTATATTTTGCATGTATAAATATATGATACTTCTATGTTAGATCTATGTAAATCATTATTTATTTTTTTAATTTTGGTGTATTTTTATTTTCTACTTAAAAAGGTAGGGTAGGTAAGAATGTAGAAACCAGCTCGAGTGCGCTAGAATTTGAAACTACGCAGCCGAAAAAAATCTACCACTTCCTTATAGAGCCCCTCCTCCAACACACACGAACGCGCACATGACCAATGAGGGCACGAGATAAGTTTGTGCACAGATGGAAGGCTGACGGGCAGGTAGGCCATCCAGTTATTTTAGCCGGGCCGGCTAAAATGATTGGTCGTGCTTTTTACAGTATTACGGCTTCCACAGATGAATCTTTTTAATGTATTTATTGTCAAAGCATTTAATGTATTCATTGCTATCGGGATGTTAAGAGCATTCCATGGAATATAACAAAAAGTGTTTCTGAAGTGAATTACCTACCCCACCTTTAATGTAGCTTTAAAATGTGTATTTTATTTGTACCTGCTCTTTTTGTGTTTTTATCTATTCATTTATGTATTTATGTTTGTTTGTGTGTGTGTCAAAATTGAGAAAAATGAGACATGGCTAAAATGCATGATCTGTTTGGTATTTTGAAAAAAAAAAAAGTATAAATATGCCTTATATATAGGTATGGTCCTATACTATATTATTCAAATATAGCATGATAGGTCCACTTTAAGAAAGCCAGATTGCCTGGCTCTGTAATTTAAGGTAATACAATCAGCAGAGTAGAATCACCCCCCTCTGGAGGAAAGACACTCTTAATCACTTTAACATAAACTGTACTTTAATACCTTAACCGACAGAAGGACAGCCAGGCCTATCTGGGGTGTGTGTGTGTGTGTGTGTGTGTGTGTGTGTGTGTGTGTGTGTGTGTGTGTGTGTGTGTGTGTGTGTGTGTGTGTGTGTGTGTGTGTGTGTGTGTGTGTGTGTTCTATCTGAGAACACAGGTCCCATGGGTTGCTGTAGGGAATATTCTCCAAAGGTCACGGCACTTCATAACCTTTCTTCATGTTCGCTGAGGAGAAACTGGAAACCTTTGGATTAAGGGAAGCACCTCAGCACAATGCTATGTCCAACCTGGGTGGAGTAGTATTAGCTAAACATTTCCTGACATTTGTTTGAATGTCTTTCAAGTGCCAAACTGGATTAATTTGACAGAAGAGATGCCCAAGCACAGAATCCAGGTTATAAATGCATTGCTATAACGTCCTTTGAATGTTCTTCCAGCTTATCTGGCAACAAAGGTTAAAGTAAATACAACACTGTCTGATCCAAGTCAACAAAGGCTGCTTGCCGTCTTTCCTTTCTGTGAAGTCAGGTCCTGGCTCAGCCGCTCATACTAACACGACACATGAGACGGATGCTTCTCCGAGTGGAACTTCGGTAGTGAAGGTCTGAATCATAGCTCAAGCGTGAATCATGGAAAGGGATCGGTGTGAGCGAATGTCTGCATATCTGAATGTGTATACAAACTGTGTGTGGTACGAGGTGGGGACACCGACCTGTTCGGCAAAGAAGGACATGATGGTGAAGACGACGAGCGTCACGAGGACACAGTGAGTCCAGAACTTCAGCTTGTCTCGATACACTCGCCTGGCAAAAAACACAATTCAGTTAGTTTTGGTTAGCTGCTGGTACAGATGCTGAAATAAAATGTCTGTTGCCTAGATTAAGGGCTAGCTGTGCTGTGATACAACAAGAAGGACTCTTGAAGTATGCAGGGGGCAGCAGGGCAACAGGGTGACAAGGTGACAAGGTGACATCACCCAACGCCATCTGCCAGTTACTTTACTAACTCAAAGAGAGAAGGGGAGGCAGGGGAGGCGGGGGAGTCAGCTGTGTGATGATCTTGCAAGTATCTTACAGCTAGCGGCTGATCTGAGGCTGCCCGGTCTAATTTTAAAGCTACAATGTGAGGCTGGCATTCTGCAGCTGAAGCCCCCTAAGCACAGGAGCAGGATCCCTGACAAAAACCCCTCTGAAGGATTCCCCCCCCCGCTCCAACCTGGTGACAGCACCAAATTCTTAACTGAGGCTGTTCGGGAAAAAAGAGCTTGATAAATTACAGGCTGTGTGAATCGTCTTATAGTAATACTGTACAGTAAAATGAACCTCTACTCATGTACACTTATGAACTCAAATAGGACAATAACAATAATATTGAAAATAGCATTGAAATGTTTACCTTTTCCTTCTATTCTATTATGTTGTTTGTAGTTGTCTATTATTTATTTTAAATTACATTTCTGTATTAAAAAACCTTTTTATGTAATATTCTAATTTTCTTAGATACTGAATTTTGGGTTTTCATTAGCTGTGAGCCGTAATCATCAAGATTAAAACAAATAAATGCTGGAAATAATTTACTTTGTGTAATAAATGTATATATTATTCATTTTAAATTGAATTACTGAAATTAATTTACTTTTCCACGATATTCAAATTTATTGAGATGGACCTGTCAAACAAAAGCCATATTTAGTTATATACTTTATAATTGTCGGTTATCGTAATGTTATGTTTTTTATGCTAGGTTATGGACTATTAATTGATTCGTCAAAAAAGCCAAGTAGAAGACACATTTCAATTTGAACCTGATGATGTTAAATTAAAAGTAAATCCATGGTGTGGTAAACATAACTGTTTTAAAATGACATAGTTATTCATCTAATATTTGCAAAGGCTTTCCCCTCTAAACCACAAATTCCATAGATGTACAATTAATCAATATTTTCTTTAAACTTTATCTCCTACCAGTCCTGGAGCTCGTCCATATGCAGGAATCTGTTGCGGTACTCTCTGGGCAGTTCAAACTGGGACGGCAGTGGGAACATGGACTCATAGAAGTCTCTCAGCACAGCTTTCACCGTGGAAGCGTCCTTATGGCTGTGGTCGATGTTATCGTTCAGACAGATGAACTTCCTGTTTGGGATTAATGAAAATACTGTTAAAACAGCTCAACAGCCAACCGAAAGGTGAATTTTGGTTGCTTAACAGAGAGAAAAATGAATTAATGTATTTATCTTTTGTACTACTTTTAAGGAAAAATAATCTAGAGTGTTTCCCACCTTGGATTCTTCCTAATGTCATCTAACTGGCCGACAACATGGGACACATTAGTCCGCACCATCTTGAAAGCAATCTCCTCCTCCCCCATGATCTCAAACCTGTCGACACAGAACACGTTAGCAGCAGCAGGAGTGAGGCTAAGCAAGGAGAATATCTGAATTGTATTCATTGTGAAAAAAAGGTGCTTAAAGATGACACCTGTACTTATTTTGGTCTCTGAAGGCTTTGTGGATGCGTTCTGTGATGGGCTTGCAGTGCAGGACGAGGCCTTTGGTGACAGAAGGCTGGGGATTCAAAAAAGAGCATCAGTCAGACAACAGAGTAAAATATTATATATTTGTATCTATCAATGTTATTTTTTTTAACATTATAAAATAGCACATATTTTCCGTATATCGTGTAACACTACAAGAAGTGCACATTTAATGACTTTAAGTGTTAGGAAACATGCTATAAAACAGTTTTTTCCAAGCAGTTGCCTTCCGTAGTGGCTCACCATGCTGGGATCATAGTAGGCCTCCTGAGTGGGGTTCACCAGGTGGAGCTGGGTCAGGTTAGTGGGGAGAGTCTTAGAGCAGTTTATCAGCATCTGCTCCAGGCCTGTCAGGTCCTAAATACAACAAGGAAACATTACACACTTCAAAAATACAAGAATTCCTGCAAACGGTTTAGTCTCAGAGCCTTTTGTGAAAGAGAGAAGAGAAGTCAAAGGCAGGACGGACCTGCAGGCTGAGGGGCAGCTCGTGGATCCTCGTGGCCAGAGTTCGAATCTCTCGGTCGGACAGCACACCCGAGTGGTCGGTGTCGATCTCGTCAAACACATCCGACACGTTGAGCTGCTGCTGAGCACTCATCAGGAAGTAGAAGTATGAAAAGGCGAACTGCATGTCCTCTGAGTGACGAACACTATGGCCTGAGGTCTTGGCAAACTCCTCCGGGAATCTGAGGAAAAAAGTATGTTACCTTTTCAGACAGGGTTATCATCCAACTGAGACTAAAACAAAAAAAGTCAATGTTAAATATTCTGGTAAAAATGTAGAATAACTAACTGAAACAATATTGCCTCATTAAAAATAAATAAACAAACATAAATAACTACAGTTTATTTGTATGGATATGTAGCTGAATATATTATAGATATTACACCTAGCCCTAATGAAACAATACTAAAACTAAACCTCTCTGGAAAAAATGAAACCAATCAAAAACTAGCAAACACTGAAAACTAACAACTAAACAATAATGAAATAAGAGTCAAAACGAAACTAAAATAATAACAAATGTAAAACTCGCTTGAGGAATACTTAAAGGTCCCCTATTATACTGTTTTTCATCAATATATTATACAGTAGGTCTCAGATAAATACAAAACATGTCTCTGAAGTGCTTGGCTCGAAACATCAAACAGATCGTAGTAGCATCCCATAAACCCCTCTGTTTCAGCCCTGTTTCAAAAGTGCTGATTCTCTGTCTTTTACTTAAGATAAATGCTCTAGGAGGAGATTCAGGTGATAAGGTGGGGTGGGGGGTGGGGGGTGGGGGGGGGTTACCTTGGTTGGTGATTGGCAAATGGTTACACAAGCCAAAAAATCGTTATGACATCATAAAGTGCCCAAAATCTGATCAGCTCATTTTCAAACAGGTTTTTATATAAATGGATCAGGACAAAAAGTGAGCGAATCTTTTTTCCTGAAACTTTCAGAATGTCTTTACACAGAGGGTTAGTGTTTATGTATAAAAGACATGAAAAGAGGATTTTGCATAATAGGGGACCTTTAAAAACAAAGGTCCGTCACACTCACGTGTCCTGCAGCCCCTGCATGATGAGACGGTCGATCATGTGAGGCATGTGGGCGGGGACTTTGCGGGAGGTGAATCCGAACTGGCCGTTGAGCAGCTTGTTGACGTAGCGCAGCGAGTTGGCAAAAGTGTCCTGCAGCCGGCGGCCAGCGGCACCTCCGTCGGCCTCATACGACAATTCTCTCTGCAGACGCTCCTCTTCCTGTGGAGTCAAAACAGAGAGATTCATGTTTGAAGAAATATAAAATGCTTAATTAGAAAAGTGGAGGTTGTCGGCCATGTTTACCTCCAGCAGTTTCTGGAAGTACTTCCTCCTCTCCCAGGGCAGGAAGCCTCTGTCTGCGTGGATGTAGTGCTGGAGTCTCCTCCCCACTGGAGCTCCACCTGCAGCGTCCCCAGGCTCTCCCTGACTCTCCGTGCTCTTGGGTTTGGAAATTCTGCTCAGCAGTTTGGAAGTCTTGGGCCTCTCGATCGCAGCATTCAGATTGTAATGTTTGGGATTTTCAAAGTCTTTCTCCTGCGTATCATCAATATCGACGCTGATTAGAGGAGTGACAGGTTTTACCGGCACAGCCACATCTTTCCTTATCATTTCTTCTTTTGGGTTTGGATTTTCCTGCATGATATTTCCTGCTTTATCTTCCACGGGTGGTTTTCCTTCTGAATACTCTCCCTCCAAGTCCTTATAAGGCTTTCCCTGGAGCTTGGCTGCTCCCTCATTATGGGGTTGTGAATCAATGTCTTGCTTCTTTTCAGTCATGTAGGATTTTAGAAGTTCAGCCTTTGTAAAGTTATAACCCTTCATAGTAATGTCCCCGATCAGGAGCTTCTCGTCCAGCTTCTGCAGCTCACTCTGTATATCTGCAGGTAGAAGTGACTCATTCAGTGAAGGCACTTGTATTGCAGCCTGAAGTTCACCAGGCTGCCTTTTCAGGATCTTAGGACCCTGTTTGTCCTCGGGAATATCTAAGAACGGGACGGGAGGCTCCGGTGTTGGGGTCGGGTTCGGGTCTTTGTCGGCATCTTTGCTCACAGCCGTGGACACGTTGACCTGAGGCGCCTCGCGGGTGTCCACGGCTACACTGAAGCTCATTAGGAACTCTGTGTCATCGTCCTTCTGGAGAGTGAGATTGTACTGGATCTGGGTGGCGTTGTGACCCGGGTAGAGCAGCAGGTGAATGGTCTTCCACTTGTTGGCGACGGAGGTGTGGCGAAGCGCCGGGTTGTCGCTGACGTGGGCCTCGGAGATTCTGCGGGCCAGTCGGTCGAAGCTGAAGTACGGCCTGGTCTCACCGACAGGGAGGGTGTACAAGCTCTGATTCCTCAGCAGGGTCACATGACGCAGCTCGCCAAAGTGCTCTACATCAGAAATGAATACATGTTAAAGGCTAGATTTTTGTAATAGGCCACAAATCTCAAGGCAAGACGAAACCAAAAATAGCCTGAATCAGAATACCTTTATTAGTCCCACAGAGGGGAAATGTACATTGTTACAGCAGAAAAGAGCCAAAGAAAGCTTAATGTTACCTAAGAAGCATGCATAAAAAAGTATTAAAGATAACAAAATTATAATAAAAAAAAGTTACACAATTTACAAAATACACATCCTGTAACAGTTCTGAGGATTTAGCAGCCAGGTATATATTGCACAGTTATTAACGGCATATATACACTCAGCCCAAAGCCCATTGTTTCCACTGAAGACATTCATATTTTCAAAGGAGTTACTGTTATTAGTTTGGTAGTTATTAATCATATTATAACTACAGTTGACTTTGAGTGTCCATGTGTTTTTACTGTATTTATGGACAACACAGTAGGTCTAAAGCACATAGGAATTAGCTTTAGTAGGCTTTGGATTAGCATCTAACACTTGTTGGAAGGATTTGTCAACAACAAGAACATTTAGAATATCACCAGACACAGTGCCTTCATAATCCAAAATATGTTTATATCTTCCAGCCATAGTTTCTTTACAACAATAACTTAATGTGTTAAGTTATTGTTGTAAAGAAACTATGGCTGGAAGATATAAACATATTTTGGATTATGAAGGCACTTTGAGGGATCAAAACACTAGAAAAGCACTGTATAAATGCCCCGTATAAACTCACCTTGGCCACAGTCCCCCACATCGAACCCACAGGAGAGAACGTTGCAGGCCTGGTCACAGAACTTGTCTGCGAGCCAGGAGTTGGCACAGCCTTGATTGCAGTATGACGTCCCCCCAAGACCTCCGAGACCTCCTGCAAACTGCCACACCTGTCCACCAGCTCCACCCGCCCCCCCACCGACCCCGGCCGCAAACCGGCTGCTCCCTGCTGCACCTGTCGGATAAAAAGGCACAACATATTAGACATGAATAAAAGAGGTAAGCTTATTAAAACAGTGAGAGTTGATGTCTTTACCGAGGCAGTCTCCTCCATCCCAGTCACAGGCAGAGTTGTTGCAGGCTTTGTCGCAGTAGCCATCTTTGATCCAAGATCCTGGGCAGCCCTCAGCACAGTTGGGGACAGGCCAAGTGAGATACACCTGCAGGGAGGGGAGGAAAGAAATGATTAGAGGCCAGTTCAGAGAAAAGCAACATGACTTGCACAAAAAAGTACGAACATATATTCCTAAATGACCAGACGAGCCCTTTGTTTTGTTAAATTCATACCTTTTGTCCTTTCGAGTGGCTGTAGAAGTCGTCCGGCCAGACGTCTTTGCCAAACATCACATCATCATTAAGGTAAATGAACTTCTGGGAGAGCCCTGAGATGCGGTGGATGTGTGTCTCTATGGCAGGAGAGCTGAAAGTGGGAAGGTGGCTGTGGTTCTGGAAGATATCCTGGATGTCAAAGAATAAAACGTTTATATTTTAGTTACAGTTATTTTTCAAAATGACATATCTGTAATTGTTTTGGTAGACTTCTATTTGGTTTTTAATTCGTTACAAAGGGTTAAGTCAGTGGTTCTCAAACTTTTTCTGTCAGGCCCCCCCTTTGGAGAAAAAAAAAAGTCGGGCCCCCCCAACACAAATAGTCAGGCTCAGTGGCGGCGCCAGAGATTTATTTTGGGGGTGCTGTGGGGTAGCTTGACTTTTCATAGAGGGTGCTCAAACATTTAGGGTTTCCCATTAATGTACCGGGCGCTACAGTGGAATTTTCCACTGCAACAATCCCCACGCATATACACAGTGCACCCGCGACTGTTACAATGAAGGCTCGATAATCAGCTCACGGCATATAGATGTAAGCAGGGGTAAAGTGCTATTTTTATAGGTGGTGTGTGGACCTCACATAGGGCGGTCCGGGGGCATGCTCCCCCGGGAAGATTTATTTTTAAATATTGAAGTTAAAAGCATCAATCTGTTGCACTTTGAGAGCAAAATGAAGAGATCTATGGAGACCTCTCTCAACACCCATATGAAACAGAACTGTAAACAGATTTACTTTTTCTTTATGGATATTTTACAAATCACCCTTTTAAACTCTATTCTTGTTTTACTGTCATATAGTATTTCATACCTGTTTTTCATTTATTCTCTTATTTTTTTATAACTATAATGATCATATAAACGTGTGCCTCAGAAATAATTGTTTACATTAATGGTGACCAAAACGTTTGAGACCCACTGAGATAACACTGAGAGAGTCCTTTAGCTCACTGAGTCTCTCAGTCTGACAGGAGAGGACTCTCCTCCACTTTGTTGTTGAAAAAACTCCTTATATCCGTTAGCATAGCTCGCTAGCACCAGAAGCTAACGACAACGATCTCCGGTACCGGTGCGCTCTCTCTCTCGCTCGCGCACGCACACTAAATGGCTCGTTCCACACACACACAGAGCCGAGCTTTAATGAAACACAGAGACCCAGACGTTATAGTACTGTACTGTATCATAATATTTTCGAATCAGTAATTTTTTTAATTATGATTTTTATTTTTTTCTCCTGGTCTCTCGCGCCCCCCCTGTCATGCCTCTGCGCCCCCCAGGGGGGGCGCGCCCCCCACTTTGAGAACCACTGTGTTAAGTAATAAGCTGACCACCCGTTCCTGTTTAAGGGTCAGGGTGGGAGAATCTGGGGCTTAAATTGTACCTGATGTGTGACAACTGTAACTCTGGGGTTATCCAGGTTGAGCCAGGAGGGAATCTGCCCGTTAGTGATGATGAAGATGTGTCGCACCCAGGGGGCGTGTTTCTCCACAGAGCGCAGTGAATAGCGGAGCTCCTCGTTGTCCTCAAACCGGCTGGCAGAAACATCTTCATCCTGTTTGGACTGAGGAGGAAAAACAATGAATACTTTGCCTGTATCTCAGGGGACAATACTGCTCATGATGAACAGCTATCAGGGTGTTAGAGGGGAGCAGTCGTACCTGTGAGATGGCAGTGAGGTCCCAGAACAGGTAGCCAGGGCTGATGGTTAACTCTTTACCATCCAGGGTCAGGTTCTTTTTAGCCTGCTGGGTCAGATCAGTGAAATCCTGTGGGGTTTTCAGGTGGAGCAGGGCGATGCTGGCCTCAGAGTACAACTCAAACTAATGGACAAATAAACAAAAACAGTAAGGTGTTAAAAGCTTGATAAAGTACTCCAGTGTTTGATATTGGATTTAATACTTAGTATCTTTCAAGATCCTTTTGAATACCGGTACTGGACATTTTTACTAACACTTATGGTACCCAGAGAAGGAATCATACTTTGGTGATCATTTAGTTTTTGGGAGAAGGGGTGGGATTAAATAAGTGTAAACTTCTTCCCACCCCTTTTCGGATGTGTAATTAAGTAGATTATTTGTTTATACATACCCCGGTAATTTAGAATCATTAATATTTTTGTATATCAATTTGACACTGATTAATTTTGTATTGTATAATAATTCTCATGTTACATTTTTGTATTATTGTTTTACACATTCAAAATAAATCAAATCAAATTCTAATTCCAAAGCCAAGTTCTTAGAGATGAGGTTTCTATGTTAAATCACAGGAGCGCCATTTAAAGGTAGGGTAGGTAAGAATGGAGAAACCAGCTCGAGTGCGCTAGAATTTGAAAGTAGACAACCGAAAAAAATCTGCCCCTTCCTTCAGACTTCCTTACAGAGCCCCTCCTCCAACACACACGAACGTGCACATGACCAATGAGGGCACGAGATAAGTTTGTGCACAGATGGAAGGCTGACAGGAAGGTAGGCCATCCAGTTATTTTAGCCGGGCCGGCTCAGATGATTGGTCGTGCTTTTTACAGCGCCACGGCTTCCACAGATGAAATATTTGTATGTATTCATTGCTATCGGGATGTTAAGAGCATTCCATGGAATATAACAAAAAGTGTTTCTGAAGTGAATTACCTACCCTTTAAGTGACAAATCACCCCATGCACAAATAGTTTAGCCACAGTGCAGCCATGATTATGACCACTCATGGAGGCGTGAACGTGTGTGTGTGTGTGTGTGTGTGTGTGTGTGTGTGTGTGTGTGTGTGTGTGTGTGTGTGTGTGTGTGTGTGTGTGTGTAAAGAGGTGAGAGATTGGAAAATTCTGTGATGTCATCTCATCCATGGGGGTCACATGGGGATGATTTTAGGAGAGTTATGTGAGGCATCGAAGGACACATGTGAGGGAGAGACCCCCGGCACGGCCCATTTCAAACAATTTGTCTCGCCTGTTAAACTCTAATCTTCCCAGGAAAAAGACTCACCCCGTCTCACTCCATCATCGAACACCGAATCCAAAAGTCTCACATGAACTCGACTCCTTTGTTTTTCTCTGCTCCTGTTTTTAGGTGAGGATTAGCTGTGTCTTATGAACCCGGCGGGGAGCAGCCAGCCGCGGATCACATTGTTGTCTTTATTATAGCTCTCTTTATAGTCCTGATAATGCTCTAACACACGCACACAAAGAGGAGGTGTGTGTTGGCCTAACACTGGCACATGCCTGCCTGCCTGCAAGTGTAGGCTATTTTTTTATACACACGACACGTTATTACCAAATTGGTCAGAATGAATATTAAAACTGAAATCATTTTGGTTGATTTAATTTTTTCTAGACTGATGAATTAATCAAAAGAAAGGATTTTGGCTCTGTAGATACAGCTAAATGAAAATGGAAACTATTTGACGATTGACAAAAAGTGTGAATATGTTTGTACAACCTAACTGAAACTGAAATAAAAAGAAAAGGAAGAAAAATAATTGTATTTGTACACTCTGTACACATTGTGATTGGCATGTTCTCACATTAATTTGTCTAAATCAAGGCTCAAGATACGGAGCCATTTTTATATGACCCCAAACAAATACTTTTTTTGTTCATTAACATGTCCTGTGTGAGGCTTACTCTTGCAATATTATAAACTGATCACTGCTGAGAATGTAATTAGTTTAGGGTAAAACCAATTAACGTCGTAGTGAGTGATCTTTTTAGCAGGTGGGTTGAGATGCTACATCTGAGCTGAAGCACATCATCCTGCATCACGTGTCGGGTGGAGAAGTCACGACCAGTCCCAACATTACAAAGGTGACAGATAGAGGGAACTGAAGCAAATATATATAGGTCTTTGCATAATGTACCAAATATTGTCAATGTATTGACATGACGTGTAAACTTTGGTTGTTCCAAGTTGAATAAGATTATCCAATGTCTAGAATATAAATAAATATTATAGAAAGTCAGTGATTCCAGCTTTTTAAATGTCTATACAGAGTGTAAATAGCCTGCATTTGTGCACTTAAGCACGCATATAAATGTTTCAATAGAGTTTTCCCTACACTTGAAAAATGCATAGATCACCTTCAAGAACACTTTAGCATTTTAAAACCTTTTCAAATATTTTTAAAAGTACATTTTTAAACTTTGCATTTTATTCTTAATACTTGGTCTGTAATTCTTAGTTTTACTCCTAATCAAAATATTATTCTAAATAGCACACTGGCCATTTTAGCCCATTTTTCTCACATGTTAAGTCAAGTCAATGTTTATATAGCGCTTAAAAAAAACATAGCTTATTTCAAGACGCTTTTCATTAACTCTTTAAATTTGTATGAGAAAAAAAGACCTTAGGATGTTGCTTCACGGTGGAGATGAGACCCCGTGTGGACAACAGCAAACACATAAAAATACACGCTAATGCAAACACATCAGCACGGCAGGCGCGTACACAAACACTCGGGCGGATGATCGGGGTTGTGGGGCAGCTTTCATCACCATAGCACTCGATCTAACACCGGCTATAAATAACGGCCGTCCCTCACTGCTGAACCTCTCCATCCACACCATGCACATCATCCCTCTTTCAGAGAATCAGCCTGGCGTCACCAGGAGACACCTCGAAACCCAAACTGTGTATTGTGGGGTGGCCAGTGTACCTAGAATTTTTCCAGCCTTAAAAACACACACAAACTTTCCATCCCGGACTTTGTTTGGCTTCACATGAACTAGCATCGTCTCTACTCTGTACCACACTGCCTTGACGTAACCTATTTCCATTATAAAACATGACAACTGGACTCCAAACAGGTAATGCTGGCCGCACAAGTTTGAGATGACAGGGTGTGTCCAAGAGTGCAGAAGAAGGTCAGTAAAGTCCTTGTGACCTTTCGGTGTGCTTGCTGGCGCCGCGCCACTCCAAACAGTTGTTCTAATGTTAACCCCCGCACCGCCAGCTAAGGTTACAGCCCGAATGCCGCTGGCTATTATCACACGACCCACCAGGCTGCATTGCAACCGACAAACCTGGAGACAAATGCTGCAGTAAAGGGACAACAGGGTGTGGTGATGATATGTAGGTTAAACACTGTTAACCTACATATCATCACATATGAAGACACAGTGAGTCTGACACCCCTGAGCTATTATTATGTACAGTGCATTATTGTATAATAATTGCAGATAAAAGGTATCTGCAAGTTCTTGTTGGAATTTTTTAATTAAATGCCATTAGGTCCATTTAAAAAAACAAAAAAACGATGTGTTAATTTATTTGATTGAAATTTTGATTTAATTGTATCGGTTTAAGATTACAAAAAAATGAATTAAGCAGTATATCAATAAGCTGTGGACCTTTAGAATTTGATAATTTTGTTAATAATAATTTTATTAAATATTTCTGATGACTGTTATTCTTTTTTGAAATAGAAAAATATTCCCATTTGAGAAGCGAGAACAAATTACTTTTAAAATGAATTATTTCACCTCTAAAACACATTATTTCAGTTTTTTTAGCTTGGAGCAATTTATTTTAAGGGCTTTTCATGCATTCATGCATGTCCACTGAGGGAAAATATGTAGTATAGCTATTCTGTTTTACATTTAGAAACTACAAAGGCAGTTACAAAAGATGTTATCTAATCGGTCAATTAATTCTTATCAGCCATGTGAGTGTATTAATGGAAGACGGGACGAACAGTTGACTCACGGCCGTCCTGACTGTCTGCTGCCGTGACAGGGTCACATGCACTGTTTTGTTTTCTTTGATTATTTCAGAGTAATCCAAGCTCGTTAGTGGCATTCCTTCCTCTCAAAATATAAAGCAGACTTCTGATTAGAGAAAAGTATTAGATACACAAGACGCCGAGCTAAACAGAGGCTCTTTATCCACATCACAACGTAACCGTTTAAAATAGAAAAAGCCCATATTTAGCATGACAGTGCAACCTCCTCTCCAAGGAGAATTTGACATTTGTCTTCAACACTTTCCTAAATGATGCTGCCGCTGAGATGTACAAGAATATCTTATTATGTGCTTGCACAAAAACCTTCAGCTCTGTGATAAGACACTGTGTGAGTGACATCTGGTGGCAAAGTCCAGTTATGTTAAACTTGTTTTTTACCACAAACTTAAAAAACGCCTTTTACAAATAATGCACATTCTCTGCATCAAATGAGTAATATATGTCTTAAAAGAAAGATAAAAGTCATGCATGTGTACTGTACATCCATCAAGTGTGCAACAATGCCACCTGCTGTTTTGAAACTGAAATATCAATTTTAACAGACATCTCACAAAAGTGGAGTTTTAAAATGTTCTTCCTCAGCTTGAATTTTGGAGGAAAACACAATAAATGTGATCTTTAATTTGTTAATATTTCAACAAGAAAATATCAAAGAAATGTCTTAGAAGAAGAAAAATGTACAACTTTCCCAAATAGACAATGGTGATGTTAAGAAACAAAGAAGTAGAGTTGTACAGTATGTTTAGAATCCCTTCTGCTGTGTTTTACAACATGTATCATTAAAATACCTATCATAAAAGGTGGCTTGAGCATACAAAGGATGGGCCAAATTTAGAAGACTGCGAGGTTATTTGAATGTGTCAGGTGTTCCAACTAAATCAGGTTAATATAATAATCAAATCAGCTGACAAGTTAGTAAGTATTAAACGTAAGCAATAAGTGTTTTACCTGATTGATTTTAGTGGTGATGACAGAGGGCAGTTTGACTCTCAGCTGCTCCGTTTCCTTAAAGGTTGCTGGGAAGCCGCTCAAGTACGCCAGAGACTGCATGCGGATCAGACCAGGAGCCTCTTTATCTGTCGTCTGCAAAACACACAACAAAGACATTTGTATTTATTTCTTTAGTTCCGGACATAAGGGGGGATCTTACTCTGATCTATAAAGGTAGTTCTGGACATAAGGGGGGACCTTACTCTTATCTAAAAAGGTAGTTCTGGACATAAGGGGGGACCTTACCCCCTTGATACAATTTAAATATGCAATTCACAGTAAATATAACGGTGATGAACTCACCAGGTAACATCTGGACACGGAGAATTTCTGGACTTCTTTAGACACATCTTTGTAGGCTTTATCAGCTGAAACGAAAATGAACATATTCAAATCTTCATTTACATAAGACAAGAAATCTTATGCCCCTCTTAAGATTTTAAAAGAAACGTTTTTTCTATGAGTTATGTTCTTAATATCAGACCTTTTAGATCATTAAAATGGTTAAACATTACTAACAGGGTTCAATACTAAGCAGCAGATTGTGTGTTATATATTAAAAGGCCAGCCATGAGAATATTTACAGACGTTTGTGTCTGAGCTCACACGTTCCCCTCTATTGATCTTTGAAGCTGCTGCTGTAACTTATAATATAGATTTCTCTCCCCACCGCTGCAGCATTCTCATGTTTTGGTTACCCATTAACCACACTGCAAATAACATATTTTGCATTGCAGATACATTTTCACATCTCAATGATAATCTGCTTGCTAGTTTCAGTTATTACGCCACAGGTTTTCCCTGGAGAAACATTTATGGAAAGTATTTACCTACCAGATTTTACCTTTATTTTGCATAGTGTACTTATTCTAAACATTTGCTTCTGAATTTGTTTGTGTGTTTTTACCATCGGCCTGCGAATGGAAGACAGCCACAGACACGGTGGTGGACGGGTTGAAGGGTGTGTTCATCAGCAGCAGCTCTTTGGCAGTGGAGAAGGACGGGGAGAGCGACGGCAGCTCTTTGAGAGTGATGTTGGCAGGCAGAGCGGGGTCCAGGGCCAGCATTGGCGCTATGATGCAGTGGGACAGCAGGCATTCTGGCTTTACACTAAAAAACACAAAGACATCATACTTTATTTCATGCATCTTTACTCAGTGCTCTCACTGAGACGACCCCCTCCTCTGACTCTGGTTTTGCACCTATAAATGTTCAAACTGCATACGTGTGAAATGAGTCAAGTTCACACGTTCAGCAAACAGCTTCCTTTGTGGAAATGTTGCATCGAGCCCCTTTTTGTGTCTGCGGTTTTAACTCACTGGGGTTATCATTTTGACAAAAGAGAATACGGAGAAGATGAGAGAGATAGGGCCCCTTGTTAACACGTTGATGGTGAACACAGGAAATCCCTATCTTTGACTTGTATCTTCATTGTGGTTCAGCTTAAAGATTAACATTGTTACCAAAGTTGAGTCCTGGCAAAATGTAAGTAAGAATCTTCCACTTAGATATGTTAGAAGAATGCTGCATGACAATAAATCCTCATTATTAACGATGCTGGCCCTCTTTTGTCTCCATCAAATAACTGATATTCCACCAGTTTACACTTTCTGGTGGTTTAAAAGCCCGCCCCCAAACTTCCTGTTTCAACATCAAACTCTAAAAGATGCTGTTTCATTGTGCCCATAACGGTCATTTGTCATTCGTGTTGCAAATGGAAAATGAGATCTAAAATAATAAATGTTCATAAGTTGTAAAGAGAAGGATTACATAATGCTGTATAGTTGTACCTAAAAAAGTGAAAAAGTTGTATAAGACAATATAGATTGTGTACCTTTTAGAAAGTGGTGGCCATCCCTTTTATATCCGATGCCTTATATGGGGGGAATTGTGTGATTCAATGAGTATGAATTCCTTATGGAAATATTGGGTTGGGGATTTAGTCAGAATAAACCAACATCAGATATTTCATATATATTTAAATAATTTACGCAGGTTTTTGGAGGATGTAGTTTGTGTTGCTGTTATACTGTATTGCATTATAAAAGAGAAGTTAGCCTACCTTCAACAAAATAAACTCACAATTAAGTCTATATAAATCAAAATTACAATGCAATATGACATAAACTAGGATAGAGCATTTAACCCCTCTAACTTTAGGACACACACTATCTTCAGTCTCACCTCTCTTTTGGCACTTCAGTTGTCTCACTGGCATTTTTCCCCAAGCGTTCCCTGTGTGCAAGGAAACAGAGACTTCATATAATTTTCATCCCACACAACAGGAAGTAGCAACATTTTCAGCATTGTATCGTTCACAAAGGTCTGTAGATGCCAATACAACAGAATAACTACACAATTTGAACATGCTGAGAGAAAAATAAAAGTTTATAGACTAATGAAACCGCAACTTTCTCCTCTGAGTTTTTTTACCTTTGATCTCAGATCCTCTCTTCCTCTGGGGCAATGTCTGAACAAGCCAATCAGAGTGAAAATGATAATGCTACAGCTCAGCTTGCATGCTAATTCTGACTGTGTTCAGGTTTAAACTAAAAGCACTGGAGTCTCTTTGCACAATATGCTGCAGGACAAGACTTTCTGCAGGAAAAAAATGGTTTAGATATAATTGAAGGCATGAGTTACAACCCACATTTATTCTAACTAACCATCAAGCTTGACTGCAACGCTACATTAGCACAAACAATGGAGTCACAGCTTACCTCAGTGCTCTTTGTTCCTCCTCCAGTTGCTCTTTGACCGTCTTCAGTTCTTTCAGCAGAGCCACGTCTGTACCGTTCACCCATGTGTAAACTACATCAATAGGCATGGGCAGACAGAGCCTGCAAAAAGAAACACTCATATCACTCAAGAGAGTCCTCACACTGTAAAGCCTTGACCCTGATTCCCTCCCCAGCGAGCCTGAACTAGATTTGCTCATGCATGGTTACTCCTCGCTCTTGTTCTTTCAGATTTCTCTCAAGGGAAGGATTAAAAACAGTCTTGTGTAGGAAGGATTTTGCAGGAAGGGGACACACTTTTTCACATCAACATTTATTATAATATGTTTGACTTCCTCACCAAAGAAGACGTTGCACTATAGCCAGCTGTTTGCATTATGCATTCTTCTAAATGAAGACGTGACACAATTGTGAAATTCATGCATTTCTTTTGTTTTGATGTGTTCAAGGCACCCCTCTTTAGGAGCATGAATAATTAGTATAATCACCTGCTTTGGAACGATTTGCCACCCACATTGTCTCTGTAGGAGTCGAAGAGCACATGATACTGGTCCCGACTCCACTCCACCACCACCTGTATGGAGAGGAGGGGACGCAAAATGATACATTAGATATAGGCTATGTATTATCAAGTCTATGGTTAAAACCCTCTAGGATAAGCAGTTGCTAATGTTGCTTCCGCCCAAATATCACACAGCAAAGGCCAAACCAAACCACACTCAAAAAACCGGTTTTCTTTGGACGGACCACTCATTATCTGCGAAGGTAGACACCATGTACTATAAGGCTTTCTTAATATTTATATTTAAATAATAGCTCAATTGAAGACTATATAACACACTACAGCAAGAACGTATACTCATATCAAAACTTCTTTAAAATATGTGTGTGATATTCTCAAATGATCCTTAACAAAAATGATTTAACATACAACGTCGTGAACTGTCAGTAAGCAAACCATAGGAATCAATGTTTCAAGAAATGTGAGACTTTCCTCTGAATGCGTACAAATTGGGTGATTCATAATCATGCCGAAGTAGCATGAACACCTCAAAGATTCACAAAACCCGTGAATTAAAGATAAAAAGCTAATTAGTTTTCCTAACGAGCTACACGACTTTAAACAGCAGAGTTTTTGAATGGAATCTGGTCCGTCGTTGTCTAAGTACAACCAAATCAGGACACAGCTGTCAAGAAAATAACGTTAGCTTAACAAAACTGACTGCCAGTGAGTGACTGGAGTTAAGAAAATAGAAGAAGCTCACCTCTCCAAACTGAAAGGCGGACACTATCATGAGGACTATCCCCCCAAAGCAGAGGTAGAGCCCATACCGATGGGACAGACAGGTGTAGGTCTGCCGCTGCAACAGCTTGAGCACCGAATTGACGACTACCATGGTTCTCTTTGGCAAAGCATGCCGCTGCATTCATTCAAAAAGGCAGGTTTCACGCGCTAAACAAAGAAAGTAAACATCACAGGCGACCCATTTGTCAGCTGACCACCAGCCAGACTGCATGACACATGACAACGATACATTTCAGTTTTCTTCGGCGGTGGGGACGCTGCTGCGGCCCGGCTGCTTCTCTTCATCGCCCTCTGCTGGAGAGGAGCCGGGCTCATGGTGCCTTCAGGGTCAACCCCTTTCTGATTACACATCCAGCAGACATGAAGATAGTAGGCTTGTTTGAGACGAACTGCGGCTCGCCTCGAAAGTAGACGAGAATAGCCGATTGCAGCCGGGGGAGGTCTCAAAAAGCTCGCCTGAAGTCGGACAGCTCGGAGTCGGCTTGACTCGGTTTGCAATGGCGGAAATTGCGTTGGCGTTCTTCGTTGCAGATGAAGTGGATGCAATAGAAATCCCACAATTATGATATCACTACAAATGAATGATTCAAGTGTCTGTTCATTTTAAAACGAATCAATACAAGGGGGGTTGAATCCTACATGTAAAAGACAGAACCACTTATTACTTTTCAAAACTACTTCCGTCAGTGGTCTTGACCAGTTTGCATTTATAAAGAATGCACAAATCTGTGTACAATCGTTAATGTCAGATATGTAGCCTACTAAGTAAATACATTTGTTCCTGCTCAAGATTAGATTCAACTTTATTGTTATTGCACAGATTACAGGCTACTGAGACAACGAAATGCAGTTTAGCTTCTAACCAGGAGTGCAAAAAGCAGTAAAGTGAAAAGTAATGTACACAATCTACAGAATAAAATATAGAATGAATTGAATGATGAATAAACAGTGAGGGTACTATGAATACACTAGATATACACAGCAGCCTGTGAGCAGTATGAACAGTGTGTATGAATATGCTAAGATATATAAAGTATGAAAACGGTAAGCAGTGCAAGGCTATAGTATAAAATATATAGATATTAATTTCATGATGATAAACATTGTGGAACAATGATGAAAAATGTGAATGGAAGTGGCGACGTAAAACTGACACAAAACAACAACAAACTTTTGCGGAGCCAATTGGAGAGTTTCATCACCAGCACGGGGTAAAAACCACCAATGAGCGCTCAGCTCGATATACCAGCGAGTCGTTTCCCATCAAGCATTTCGCTTCTGCAGCTCGTGGAGAGAAACTCATGGATGTATAATAAGAAATTAAGTTAAGTTAAAAAAGTTGTCAGATGCTATTTGCACCCTGGGTGAAAATAGTCAACAATGCTATTTGCACCAGGGTTTCTATAGCCAGAAAGAGCAATTGGCTCACTACATTGATTCTGAATTGTTCCTTTCCTATAAAATGTATTGGCCTATATTTTTGTTTTACTAGGCTATTTTACACAAGCAAATCAATACAACATCAATGTAATTATACTTCTTAAAAATCATCCTTTTTAGTTACATACCAATCCTATTTTCTCAAAATAAGAAAGCTATTAAAACTAGAGCCTATATTGCAACATACACACACCTTTTCAAATATACAAATCTTTGCATAACTTTTAGAAATACATTTTTAATTACCCGTTAGAATCTTGTAAAAGAAAAGTGAAAAGAAACTATATGTGTAATGATAATGACTATTTTCATCAATTTTCTTCTTTATTATGATTCCTCATTGGTGAAAGGGACAAAATCATTTTAATGAACTTTCACATTTAAATACACGATTCATTCTATAGTAAATAATAAATGTACAGATATTTTTAACAAAATGTCTCCAAAATAGTTGACATAAATCTTCTGGAACCAGTTGACAAAATGATAAATCCACATCAATTTGGATTGTAACACCTTGCAGGGATGTTAATGAGGAATAATAAAAAACTTTGTCTAGTTGACCTTTGCTTCTGGACATATAGTGTGAAGTGGGTTTATCAGCAAAACAAAACTATAAAACTTTATTGGCCGTATCGAAGCAATGAGCCAGAAGACTGAGATGGTCCATTATGTGTTACCAAAAGCATTTATTTTCTGACAACAGAAAAGCAGAAATGTGTACACCGCAAATTGACAAAGAGAAAAAGAAACTTTAAAAACATAGTGGAAGTTGATCAGGTGCTATCACATGATTTTTTTTAATGGGACTTTGGTCATGTGATAGATGTTTGTTGTTTATGGTGAGGAGACAAACCAAAAGTCTGTCTCCTCTTCTGAGACCAGGCAGACTGCAAAAGCCTTCTTTCTTGCTGTGTCACTAGTCCCACAAAACCAGACAGAAAAGGCCTTTTCAATCCATTTGATTAAGGTTGCTGCCAAGTCAGGCCCTGCCAAGCTTTTATAGCCGCATCAACAAAAAAAGCACTGAACTGGCTGCACTTGGATTGTGTTTTGCCCAGGCTTTCATTAAGATATGAAAAGGCTATATAGAGGTTTAAGCTGAAGGACATATGGGCGTGTGCCTCCACCAGATGAGCCCAAGTTCAAGCGGTAATTTAAGTCTAAGATTCTTTGGAAACTGCTTTTCATTTTGTGTGGAATTGTATTTTTGATACATTTATTGTTCCTGCCAATATTATGCCTACATTATATATATTCCTAATCACACAGTAAGTCTGAAGTTTAGATTCATTATTTCAATTTTTGTGTCTGAATCTGATGGAGTAGCACCCTGGAACAGCCATGTTGGCTAACTGCAGAGAGATCTACACCCGTAACAACTTGGACAGCTTTTTATTCCTCAGCTAACATTACCACTGTGTCCCTAAGTGAACTTGTCTTTTGGAACCCAGCCAAAAACTATACATATTCTTAGAGTGTGAAAAACCACCTCCACACACTCCTTCACCACCGAAGAAATACAGTTTATCATATATTCAAGTAAAAATACTCTATTTAAAGTTAAATGTATGCATTTAAAATCCTAATTAAGTAACACCACAGAAAAGTGTACTTCATGTATGAAAAGTGCTGCAGAAAATAGCAGTAATAAATCATTATATATAAATGTTTGGATTATTAATACCGGGTATCAAAAAAATATAAGTAGCATTTCAAAAGTGGGTCAAAGGGGAATAGATAAATATAATACATGAATTATTGAATACGCTAAGTTAGCTATTATAGCTTGTCTACTAAATACAGTGGGGTTATTCACAAGGCAAATTAGACTGTTTGATGCCATTCAAATTAAGTTTATCATTATTATTGTAGTAAAATCACTGATCATGTGAATATAATATTTATATATAATATAAACATTTGACATAATTATCATTTTAAACTTTTGATAGTTTAAGTGCATTTTTTTTATCAAAGTATTGTTTGGGTTGCTTTTAGATGTAAATTGGCTATATTTTGACAGCTGTGAATACTTCCTTATTGTTGGTGATTACTAACACTGACATACGTGTAGCTTTTCACAGGAATAGAGAGATGATAGATAGAGGAAGTGAAGTGCTGTGAGATCGGTGTTTTTATTTGCATAGACCGGCCAACAGGAGGTCATTTTGGAGGAAGAAGTTATTGTACACTGTATATCGGTGTATTGGCCAGTCTCATTATTAACACACGACCATGTGACTTTCGGTAACTTCATCAGACCTCACAGGAACAACAGCCGCAGCAGACAGACCACTGATCCTGGACCAGTATTTAAAGTGGACTTTTTTTATTGTATGGCACTGTTTTATCCGTCTCATCTGGGAGCTCCGCGATGTTTTGGTTCACACAAGGACTCTGCTTTCTGCCAGCGTTTCTGGTCATCTGGTCCTCCAGCACTTTCATCGTTGCCTACATTATTGCGCTTTTCAAGCGTGATGTCGACATCATCTTCCCATACATAAGGTAGGCCTACGTTTAATCATATATATCTTTTTAGAAGTTGTTATTTTTGCATTTTTAACAATATAAAGGCATATCTTTAGTGATTTTTGAGAACCAGGCATGAGCAAAGTTAGGTTTCGTTTTCCAACTTGGCTGGTACCCAAACTCCAGCTGCACGCACACGGCACACATGTCTTAATGAATGCTCTTCTTTTAACTTCTCCCTCTAAAGTGAGTCTGTTATTTTAAGAAGAAGGTTGAAATGTCTCAAAAATACAAACATAATCTAGTCACAAATAACAGGAAGTTATGCTTTACTATGAGCACATGTCTGTAATGTGAGAGCAACAATGAAGAGCTCTCTTCTCCCTTTTCAGTGACACAGGTGCTTACCCTCCAGAGAGCTGCATTTTCGGCCTGATGACATTCATTTCTGCATGTGCAGGTATGTTCACTCCATCAGTATGTACATCTGCAATGTCACCTCTTTAACTTGTTTGTCATTTGTGCAAACTTGTGCTTTCCCAAGGGAGAAACCAAGATTTGCAACGATTTTATTCTCATTTCCTCTTTAGCAGAAAATGAAAGCAGAAATGTGTCTTTTTGTTGGGATGCAAGAGTCATAAATTCAGAAGAAAATGTGTTAAATGCACTATTTTACCTTCACCCAGGAATAGCCACCATATATGCCAGGTACAAGTTTGTGGAGAAGCTGAGTGGGGACACCAGGGTGGTGAGCCCCCGCCTCAATTACACAGCACTGGTGTTTGGGCTGCTCTCCTGTTTGGGCATGTGTATTGTTGCAACATTCCAGGTATGTCTACTTATGGGCACATCTTAAATACATGAAAATAAATAACATTTGTAATGTATCGATCTTCTTTTATGTTGCAGGAAACAGCTGTGACGTGGGTTCATGATATAGGAGCTCTGATGTTCTTTGTGCCTGGTATATTATACATAATACTCCAGTCGGTTATATCTTATTGTGCCTTTCCATATGGGTGCTCCATATTTGTGTGTCGAGTACGCTTGTTTATCGCCATACTTGCCGCCTTGGCGTTCTTTCCCAGTATCCTTTCACAGAAGCTTGATGTGTTATAATACACAAAGAGTCGGTTTGCTTTGGTTTTCGGATCTACTAAGCAACATGCCAGGAACTTCCCTTTATGGCTGAATTATTCTCTTGTTTTTCTTGTAAAGACTTGAACAGTAAATGCAACCAATAACAAGTGCCAACCATGTATTTGCAATTTTCCTTGATGGATAATTCAGCTGCCATCTGTGCGTACTTTGTGAAGCAAACCACACTGCACAGAGGCAAAGACGACGAGGTAGGCTGTCTAATTTCACTTTATCCATCGGTGTAAGTTAATACTTAATAGACACATAATAAACAACTATTTTGATAATTGATTAATGTTTCACAAATGCCAAACTTTTCTTTGTTCCAGATATGTGTTACCATGATTGTGGAATAGCACAACATCTGTGTTAATGAGAACAATTCACATCCAACTTAAATTACAAATTGGTATGATGTTGATCTTAAGTGAATTCAGGGACACAGCTACTCACTATACAATATGCTGACTACTGTGTACAAATCTCCCAATCATATAAGTCAGTTGTAATACCTTAATGTAGTTAAGTGATGTAAGCAAGCATAGAAGTAAAAAAAGTAGGCTTAAAGAAGAAAAACTCTATTTAAAGATTCCACTGTAGGACATCATTTTGGGAATTTTCTACAATGTCTCTACATTTCTAGCAAAAAAATATTCATCCATTAATCGATAAAATATTTGCCACTAATTCATAATGCATATCTGTCTTTCAGGACTATCCCTACCATGTAGCCAGCGCCTCGTGTGAGTGGGTTTGTGCTTTCAGTTTCATCTGCTTCTTCCTCACATACATCGACGATTTCAAAGTGAGTATCTCACCATCAAAAATAAACTCTTATTTTTAATTTACATCTGAAAAGAGTTCTTATTTCTCTCCCTTTTTATTCCCCACAGCTGTTTACCTTACGAGTGAAAACAGAAGATGTGGAGTAGTCTCGATGAGTCTTCAACTGCCAACAAACTTTGTATTTACTGTACATCAGTATTATCAACATGTGCTGCATTTATTTTTATACACTTTTACACACATACTTTTTGTAAAGAAAAGAAAGATATCAGTGACTGTACCCTTACACTTTTTAATCGAGCACAAATAATATGCGTTTACTTAACTTTGCACTTTGCTCTTGACTGTTGCCTCACCAGCATGACACGTCCGTTCAGACCTGTGACCAGTAACAAGGAAGTTCCCCCCACAGTGAGCGCATGACGGCTGCACATGTGGTTTAATAAGTATACAACTCAAACTAATAACGGTCTGTGAGAGTGGTGGCTCATGATTTCTGGGGAAACAGTCAGAGCTACACTGAAACTGTTACTGAAACCTGTCTGAAATATTACTTCAAATGGGATTATTAATCAAATGTTTTTTTAACCAAAATTTTACCAAAATTGTATAATATATATTTAATGTTTTTCCAACATTGTGTTTTCTTTGGAACACAAGACTTATTTGTGACAGATTGCTGTCAATTCAGAGTTTTGTTCATAGTACTTACTGTATGCTGCTCATGTATTTAATGGTTTCCATTGATACTGCTATTGGGTTCAGCAGTGCAGCTATGGAGGAGTTTTGGCATATACAGCCTGCAGAAGGTCATTCACTGAAATTAGGCTACTAAATCAATTATTTTTCTCAGTACAACTGCCAAATTAAATTGCCGTAATACAATAAACAGGAATTGAAGCTAATTCAAATCAAGAACAAGTATTCAGTGGGCTCTCAGGCAGATAATAAAGCCTGTTTCTCTGCCTCAAAGCTTGAGTTAGAAGCAGTTCTACACACAGGATTTCCACATGAAATGTAGCTAAGTCTGAAAAATACACTTCATTTGGATAACAGAAATATCTATGTTTTTATCTCTTTAAATTCTCCCCTCTTTTTGGTCAAACTCCAGGATGGGAACCAGTTTCTCACAGCCTATACTGCCAATACCATTGCTTTGCTAAAATGATAAGATAAGATATCACATTTGAGTCAGCCGATATATTTCCATGGCCATTATTCATGATGCATCCTTTTATAGATCATGCCTATAATTGGTGATTAATAGGAGAAAATCCTTTGCTGTAATAGTGGTCACATGATGACACTGATTGTTAACTCGTCCACTACAGATACTGTTTTTTTATTCAATGACTTTGTATGTGTACTGGTTTGCTTATGACATTATGATATGAAAAATAAAGATATATTTTTCAAGCAGACTGTCAGAGTTTATTACAGATCCAAACTTTGTGCACAAGTGCTTTCCAGAGTTCTCCAATCTCAACTCTTCACAGTCAATATAGAGTAATATCCATATCCAATATTTAGTTTGTTGGAAAAGCATTCTTGACTTCGCTGTTTTACAATTTTGGCCATGCAATTCCCTATCATGATCAATTTAATCACAACTGTAATAAACACAAATAACATTCAAGTTTAAACATGAGGTGTTTATCACTGATTTACCTCTTAGTGCAAGTTCTTCTACTCTTTATTCCACCTGAGGTTAGTGTGCAATACACAGGTTTTGTGTTATTAAATGGAAACATGTTGGATATATAAGTATCGAAAGCAGAAACAGACAATATGTTAATATAAATAATGTATTGTCTTTCAGGGGTGATAGATAAGACACATAAGGCAGCTTCTGAAAGTATGCAGATTAATGTTTTTATTTAATTAAGTTTGCAACTAATAACATAATTTTGCTTCGACATAGCTGAATGATAATTGATGGCTAGAAAAGATTAAATGATATCCATCTTATTTCTTTTATTGAATAAAGTGATCAGAGATTCTCTCTATTTAAACAGGATTATTGTTCTGAAATCTTTTTTTATATATGTGTCTACCTCGCCTGAACACACAGACTTACAATCTGAGTTTTGAAGTTTCCAACACATTTTTTAAATAACTTTCACCAGATAGTTGTATCTCTTAAAAGGCATTTGTCTGTAAAAGTAGTGACCACAAAAACATGTTAACATTTACAATATATAATTACTTTTTGTACAAAAATGACTTGCTACTGCAATATTCTGAGGTCTAGTGCTAACAACAGGGAAAAACCTTCCCTCTTTGTGAATACAACAAAAATAGAGGATGTCACTGACCAACCTTAAGGAAACTATTTCAGTAATTTAAAGCCAAAAGTACAATCTCTCTGGTTTCCAGGTTCAGGCACCTATTTCGCAGCTTCTCATTGCTACTCCTTCACAGGATCACTGTGATCTACATTTCTCTCTCAGTGCAGGCAGGCCTACAGGAGCTCAGACCAGCGATGGTGAGCCTGTACAGGACCCAGGTATGGGTGACGGGCATAGAGGTCAGAGGTCAGTCGCTGAAAGATGATTCGCTGTCAGAGCTGGTGGCAGAAACATCTTGATCCTCTATGCTCCTCGCTCCTTCATCCGGCAGGGGGGCATCTGGTGTGCTGTCATCAGCAGGGAGGAAATGTTACCGGTCAGTTTCATAAAAGGAGATATGAATATGAGATCATTACCAGTAACAGTGACACACTCACTCAAGCAAGTTAGAATCCAATCCCTCCAGGACCATTTTATTCTTTATAGCCATAACTGGAACTCCCTGCGACAAATAAAACATGTATGAAGATGCAAAGCAAACAGAATGTTTTTTAATCACTATAGTTCATTAGCAGGTTTTAGTGATGTTTTAGTGATGACTTACCACTTGAACCATTTTCAGGTATCGGGCATAACGCGGGTCCTTAGCCACCGTCATGACATTCTCTGCGGCTGCTTCTACTTGAGGTGGCGTTGCAGGCTCTGGTGCTGTCTGAGCAGCCTGCGAAATCTAAAAAATATTTACAAATGACTACATGATATCAAATTAAGTACTTTATTATGCATTGTTAGTAGGCAGTGCTCAGTTTTAGACTTGCAGAGTTTGTACTTTGTTTGCATCCTTTATGGAATAGTAAGTATATAGTAAGTATATAGTAGGTATAATAGTATAGTACAACATTTTGAAATGTGCTTACTTTGCAGAGAGTTGGGTGAGAAGAGAGTTGTGTCTGTATGCTAAGTATGAAAACACAGCTGCAGCTGATTAGCTTAGCTTATCATAAAGAATGAAAACAGAGGAAAACAATTGGCCTGGCTCACTCAACACAAAACTTTTGTCTTATTTCACAGTTTGTGGATTGGTCAGCACTCCAGTCACACAACTGTATTTGGACAAGCCATGACAATTTAAGTTTCTCTCATATATCCCCTTGAAACAAACATATATTATGTGTTGTGCTCGTATGTGTGCAGTTGGACAGAGCTAGAGTAGCCATTTCCCTCTCAAATTATTCATTTTAAGTTAAAACACCCATTTGGCAGATTTGTTATACTCATTTGTATTCACCTCTGGGGGAAGAAGACTGCCTGCTGGTGGACCCCCTGTTTGACTCTGAGTGGCGGTAGAGGGTCCATTGGCCGGTCCATTGGCCTGTCCATTGGCCTGGGCAGGTTGCCGCTGACTGAGTCCTTCTATTGTGACGTCCTCCAGCCCGGGAATGGAGGACAGCTTCACAGAGCAATTCAAAATGTAAGATATGATAAATTGAAGGACATGACACATATAAAAAGTGTCTCAATCAATAGAGGGGATAGAACTTACTTTGGCTTCTAAAATGGACAGGGTTGTTTCAATCTGCTGAATGCGAAGAGATATGTTTGCAAGTTTCTGTGGGAAAGAAGTTAGACAGTTTGGGTTATGGTGTGTCACAGAGGCTGCTTGTGTGAACTAATCAGGACAGCAGAAACTGGTTAAAGAATCAGTTTAGAGTACAGGAAGCATACAAACCTCTTCACAAACTGTGGAGAAACGGTTAAGAAACCGGACCGTGTGCACAACAAACTGATTGAGATAGGCAACAACTCTTCTCTGTTGAATAGCAGGGACCTAAAGGAAACACAGAGAAAGCTATTTTAAGAAAGAGTCCGGGTTGTGAGGAAATAAGTTATTATACTTACAGGTCATTCCTTACCAACTCACCAATATCTACAAATAGAAAACTAGTTCAGATGAAATTGTTTTTCTTTAAGATTATTTATTGGGGTTGATTTTACATCAGCAACAACTATTTACATGGGCACATATTGAAAATTATCCTTATGGTTTCTTGAATGGTAAGTACAATTTCCAACCTAATCCAGGGAAATATAAGCAATTGGTGAGGCTTAGAATAAACAAACTTTCCAAAAATGTGGGGTACAGTTATAGGATTTTGCAAGGTCCTATAAACTTAATATAATTTCTTACAAACTTTATTTCAAGACAATCCATTACTGGTTATTGGTGAGTTGGTATACAACGACTATACATCGATGTATAACCCACTACGCTAATAAAAAGCATTGCATTTATTCAATATTAACATAGTAGGTATGACAACATCATAGCTGGCTAAATTACTTGGTAAATTAGCAAAGATATACAAATATTGAATAAAACATGTTATATAAACAGTTACTGCTACAAGCTATTATTGCATTTGTTTAACTATAGAATATTACAGTGACGTTTGCTAATGATAACTGTCGACTGCTTGGTAAATAACCCTACTATTACTAGCTCGGTTGCTGAATGACAGCCTTGTTGCATCACTGTTTTGGCCTGTTTCCTCACATTTCCTCAATATGTAGCTTAACGTTAGTTAGCCTATAGTAAATGTTAGCTAGTTAGATACCAACCTTAGTAAGATCGACACCAGACCCCACAATAGGCAGCCCGTCCTCGTCCATGTTGGGTTTTAAACTTCCTGCAGTTTATAGAGCAGTTTCGGTACTAAAAGCGACACTGTTCACTGCAATAAGAGAGAAAACGGTGCTTAAAGATTTGCTGTGAAACGTTTCATGTGACTCTGGACGATGTGAACGTCACGTGACGTCACGACGTTAGATTCCATGTGATTAGTGCTTTTATTTTGAAGTCTCCCCCTTGAAAATAACAACATCCGGTCCCGTCTTTTAGCTACTTTATTTTTTATTTGGTCACTAATTAGCTTTTACCAGCCCTTTCGACTGCTTTATCCTTTCCGTCATCTGCCGAGGAACACTATGATTAAGTTGAAAAATGGTGGTTTGTTCGAAAGAATACGGAGATTGTTTAGTTATCAAAACACTCCACCTAGGAGAACCATATGTGTAAAAATGGATAACGATACATTAAAACTGATCATTAAAGTGCATGTATTGTGTCTAATCGTTGGGATAGCAAAGATAAATTGAATGACACAGCAGTAAAACACAGCTGAGTTGCAGGACCTTTATTTTGAAAAGAGGAAACGCAGTGAAAGAGTTGAGGAAACGGGTGCTTGCGTACCATCAGCGCATGTTAGCTAAAATAATCAAACAACAACATTTCACATATATTTCTTAACGCTACTGGAGACATATTGCACTAATGGAGGTTATTGGGTCAATAGAGAAAATAATCGGTACGTATATTTATAATTTTCTCCCACTGTACTTAAAAGTAGGCTGTGTTTATGTTAGTCAGACAGTTAGCGGGACCCGTCTATTTAAAGGAATCATGACAGTCAGAAGCTATTAGCTTGGAGCTGTTGCCTTAGGAATTGAGTTCATTTCTAATATTTTAAATAATTACTATCAATAAGTACAGTTCGTTCTTGCACAACTATATATACTTGACCAGGTTGCAAGATTCAAACTAACAAAAAATAGGTTTAAAATCCAGCATGTATACGGGTTCACATGCTTTTGGATGAAGGGATATACATACTGTAGAATAGATCCATCAGTATTTTTTCCATTGCTTTGAGTTAGCAAAACATTCTCTTTTATAATATGCCAAGGGTGAAATAGCTTATTTAGGGAATATAACTTCAAAGTATTTAAAGTTAAATAAGTGTTTTTAAGTGTGCAAGTGCTCTCTTCAATAAAAAGCACTTTAAAGCCCTCAGCAGACCATCTCTTAGAATAAACTTTTATGTTTTTCAGACCCAAGCCCACCTCTTTCATCTCTTCGCCTGCTGGTGCCCCCACTGCAGCTTCTGTCTGCTGCAATGTGGCAGCTGGCGAAGCAGAAAGATGTGATGAATTATGAGAAGCTGCAGGAGTTTGTGTTTATGGTGACTGAGGCAGTCCCTGAACTGATCAACCTCAGACAGAGAGCCCAGCTCATTCTGGGTCTAAGAGCGAGGGTGAGCTGAAGTTTTGTATTATATCATAATGTTATTATGTCTTTTCTAAAAAATGGTGCGATAACAATTGGTTGATATTTCAGCTCATTCTGGAACATTGCAAAGATTCGGCTCGGGGGTCTGTTGATTCTCAATTGATCCAGAGATATTTGGATAGACTCCCAATTACGTCTGCAAACACAGATGTAAGTACAGCAAAGGAATATATATATTTTTATAAATAATGATAGGCCCTAAATTACATGAGTCCTATCTGTGGCAGTACAGGGATGCTGAGGTGCAAACAACAGAGTCCACTTTCATTGCACTTGTTCAGAGCCTGCTGAAAGATCCAGTTGAGAGAGCGTATTTTTTTCAGGTCAGACAGATTTATATAATATCTTATTTTAAGAATCCACAAAGAAGTCCTAACGTGAACTAACCTTTGATACTCTTTAACAGGAGGTGTTCCCAGTGGAGTATGGGCCACAATTTGATTCTGCTTTGCACGTGTTATTGTGGGAGCTGCTCTCAAAATTGGAAAAGCTGCTTCCAGTACCAGACTTGAAACAGGTATTCTTTGTGTCCATCCAGATGTGTCAGAATGTTTTCAACTGCAAATCACGCGCTGACCACAATCTGTGTTTTCAGACTGTGGCCTGGCTCGGCTCGGCTCCTTCTCTGTTGGAGAAATGTGTTCAGTCGTCACCTGAAGAGCTGGGCTTAACCTTCAAGCACTACAAAAGTTCGGGACTACTGAAAATGCCATGTGAGTAAAGCTGAAATTATTTTGTTGCAGTAGATTCATCTTTTTGCTCAATTATCAAGCCAAATCCCAAACTTGTTATGGTTTCAGCATGTTTTTAGTTGTACAATCCAATGTAAAGTCATCAAATCCCAATCCTTTTCTTTTCTTTGCACATATTTGCACCACATTTTATGTATAATCTGGGTTACTTGTATAGGTTAGACATTTTAGAATGTTATATACTTGGCTGCCAGTTTTGACTCTTATTTTACGGAAGTTCCCAGAATTAGTGCTTTTATATTTATGCAATATTAATATGTATTTGATGCAACTGAATCCTTAAGAATCACATTAGATTGGGAGCTTCTTAATTGCAAATGTTATCAAATCTGAATATCTATATTAATATCCAGCCCTATATAACATTGTAAATTAAATATATTTGGGTTTTAGACTGTTGGTCTAACAAACAAAAAACAATTTAAAGATGTCACTTGAGCTTTGGCAAAGAAATCACATTTTTTATATATTCAGGTGTTTTATTGACTAAATAATTTGATGATAGATCAATAAAAGTCATGAAAAGGTATCTTTAAAAAATCTTTTTTTTAACCACTGACTACTTTCTTGTTCTTTTTAGATGGCCCTTCATCCACCATCGGTAGCTGCATCATGTCTGCTTTATCGATTCCTCCGTCGCAAAAGACAAACATCTCTGCTGGACTGGAATCAATCCACAACTACGCTAACATGCTACACCCCATCACTTTGATTGGACTAGATGGTTACAGTTTTGTTGCCGTCTATACCGAAGAGGAAGTTCAAGCCTCTAAAGTAGATGAAGAAATGATCGAGTCGGCTGAAGTGCAAGTACAAACTGACTTCTATGAGGAAGAGATAGTGGCTGTTAGCGCAGATAACGCCAGCGGTGAAGAGGCTACTAACTTGAGGGCGGAAGAAACAAGTGAGACTGTGGATGTCGCTAAAGCTCTGGACACCCTGACAAAAACGTTTGCCCTAAGGAAGGAGAGCCTCGGTCAAGATGTTGTTACAGGAAAAAGTAACGAGTCATCTTTTAATGATGGGCTTCAGTCAGGAAATGAAGCAGATGAAATAAAAACACATGAAATGAAAGACAAAACAGCAAAGAAAATAGAAATGGTTGAAGAGGTGAAGGAGGATCTTCCTCCTGCAGGCATAGTGAGCAATATAAACTCTTTTACAGACTTGAATGATGACCATGAGTCATCTGTCCATGAAGACATGGCAGATGTCCTCAGTGAGGACGCAGCCTCTGAAACACAAGAGTCTTCTCCCGGCTCAGCTAATGTACGCCGATCCAATCGTCTACAAAAGAAGACGTCACCCAATTGTCAGGAGATGGATCAAATCCAGAGGTCATCCAGGGAAAGCAGTGAAGAACCAAAAAAGTACAAAAAAACATTTAGTACCTTTACTTTATAAGCTATAGATTTAAAACCAGATATAACTCTGTAATAGTTATTCCAACTTTTCTTTCAGTTGCGCTTTCAAAGCTGAATCATCCGTTGCCCCCTCGGTTATAGCCATCAAAGGAATTGACAAAGGTAATATTTTAACCTGAGAAACATCTTTTAGATACATTTCCCATATTGTTTTCACATTTCCATCTTTATTTTAATTTGCAGGTGATTCGGACGAGATGACATCCATCATCTTCACGTGCTCTCAGTGTCCCTTCCACACGTCGGACGATAACAGCCCTGCTCACTTCCACATGCAGAGCGTTAGCACTGAAGTATACAGGACTCTCGCAGGAGCCAAAATGACTCCTTCTCCCTCCAGCACAGATGAAATATTTACATCCATTAAACTTTTCCCCAAAGGAAACACAGAGGAGAGTAACGCAGAACAACCAGGAAATCAAAGCAAAGAAAATGTGACTCCGAGCAAGCAGAAGGCCCTTTCATGTGACACGTGTGGCAAGACGTTCACACGGCCGTCCGACGTGAGGAGACACCAGCTGACGCACACTGGAGAGAGACCGTTCCACTGCTCCCAGTGTGACCGAACCTTCCAGCACTCGTGGGATCTGGCTAAACACGAGAATAAAAATCACGGCGCTGCCATTTCCTTCACCTGCCAGCTGTGCGGGAGCTCCTTCGCCAACCTCCGTGCCCTGACCGTCCACCATAAGAAGTCTCACTCCAAGGAGATCCAGCTTCCTCAGATCTGCTCCATCTGCAGTCAAAGCTTCGCCACTTCCTCCGAGCTTCACGAGCACAGGAAGTCTCACGTCACAAACAAACGCTACATCTGCCAGCAGTGCGACGAAGGCTTCGATTCCCTGCTTGCTCGCTCTCAACACCGAGAGATGCATAAAGTAAAGAGTGTGTTTAAGTGTCCGCATTGTGATAAAACATACACGCGGAGATCTGATGTAAAGAGGCATCTGTCCACACACACTGGGGAGCGACCCTATCAGTGTAATCAGTGCAAAAAACGGTTCTCGCTCCGCTTCATGTACATGAAACACCTCCGCGTTCACACAGGGGAGCGGCCTTTCCAGTGCTCCCACTGCCCCAAGAGGTTCACGCTTGTGTCTGTTCTGGCCAGACACGAGAGGATGCACACTGGGGAGAAACCTTTCCTATGCTCTCAGTGCGGGAAGGGCTTTCTATCGCAGGGAGAGCTTTCAAAACATCACAGGTCGCACGTGGACGACAGGCCTTACTCCTGCGATCAGTGCGACAAACGTTTTAAGAGCAAGAAAACGCAGCAGGAACATATCGTCACCCACACCGGCGCCCGCCCGTACCCCTGCACCGTCTGCGGGAAGGGCTTCACCAAACCGTACGCACTGACCAGACACAACCTCATCCACACAGGAGAGAGGCCGTTCCCCTGCACTCACTGCGAGAAGTCGTTCCTCACCCTCAGCGAGGCTCAGCTGCACCAGCGTATTCACACGGGGGAGAGGCCGTACCCCTGCAACAGCTGTGAGCTG